GTGCTCTAGATATTCTTAAGCTTATTGAGTTTATGCTATATATGTTCTGTAGGTTGCTTTACTGGTGATGATGTAACACATAATCATCTGTAGTTTGCTTTGCTGGAATGGACAGATGACTTGGAAGTGTTTATCCTCAAAGGTTATGGCAATTCCTTAAACTACCAAATGGGATTTCCATTGCTAGAAGATGTTTTGCATTCGATGGAAGAAGCTATCAAGGCCCGAGAAGGTAATGTCAACTTTAAACCAGTAAAAGAAAAATGAACGGTTTTATCGTCGTCTTAGTTGCCAGATTTAATTATTTTTCACTCTATGTTCATGTAGAAGCTATCAAGGCTCGAGAAGGTAATGTCAAGGCCAACTTTAAGGACTTGTAGTTTTCCCTCTATGTTCATGTAGTTTTGATTCCAAGCCCTCTTAGACTAAAAAGTAGTTTAAACTTTTGACATAAAGTACCAATCGAGAAAGAATGTGATATATTTCTATCTGTATATTAATCAACTTATAAGGTAAAGACTGAAAACAAGTCTATGACCTAGTGATATGACTAACAGAATCAGGACATTCAAGACGAATATAATCATACATGAGTCCTTGAAAAGGGCTCGTAGCAAGCGGTTGGGTTAGATATATGGTGTTATTTCCCCGGCGAAGAGAAGCAGCAGGGATATTTACACTGTACAACCAATAGATTCCATGAATACCATGTCTTGCAATTGTATTATCTTTTCCTATTTGCCCTGTCGTAAACAATGGAGGATCCACAGAAAAATCGTTCACTCGAACCTGCAAAAAAGGATAGACCAATGATCAAATTAATGTTTTCACTTCTATAGAGAAAGAAGAGTGTTTTTGCAACTTCAAATCGCACCTGCAATTCAGCTACATTTGATGTGGCTAGAGCGATTCGCAGTTTGAAATTCCCGGTAAAATTTTTCGTTTTATCGTCGAAATGAAATTTGATCTGCCATGTAGTACCGTTATATCCTCCATCCGCTTGCTTCCTACAAACCCCAATGTTGCATACATTAACAAAGTTTTATTATATTCATAGCTCTTTTGAATCTAAGCTAGAAGCAAAACTAACCTTGTAACTTGCATGAAGAACCAATTTTTAGAGTAATCATCAACATCAACATTGTAGACCATATCTTCATCGGGGTACAACTCTGCATACCGTTCCCATAATCCATATTGTCGGTATTTGTAAGCAGATTGGTTTAGGTATAGTTTGTTTGCAAAATTTGGATTCGGGTCAGGAATGTAGAATTCTGCAGCCGTTCGGTCTGGTACACCGATTTCCCATAGAGTAAAACCGTCCCTAGGAGGTTCATACACCAAGTCGCCTAGGCTTGTATTCGAACCTGATTCAAATGTTTTAACCTTTGTTAGTAAAAATGTATAAACGAAACGGTGTGGTTGTGGAATTAAACAAGTATTCAAACCTGGAGAAATGTCGAAAACGGTGGCTTTGTGGTAATCGCCGATGAATCCAGGAACAAATCCATAGAGATTATAACGACCACTTCTCACATTATTGATAGTAAAGTATCCATTTTCGTCTGCTTTTGTCCAGAATTGATAACCCTGTCAATGTAATCAAATCTTTATAATTGCCACTAACTATTAATTAACAGTAAGGAGAATGAACCATATATGAATAGATTAGGACATTACTTTGTATTCTCTTTGCCATGAGCCAACATCTCCTGGTGCAGCCAAGCCTACATAGGAACCATTTGCAGGTATATCCTCACTTCTTAGGTATCTGTTTCAACATCAAACAACCACTTAAGAATGTGTTACCCGCGAAAACGACTTAGTTTTAAGGATGAAAGAAGCAAGTAATATACCGGTCTTTAACGAGTAATCTACCGCTAACAAATCCTCTTTGGTTAGATGCAGGAAAATCATCTGAAGTGGTGAAGTTATAAGGCCACTTCTCTTCTTCGATCTTTGTCTGAAAAACAACAACCAAATCTATTGTTCAGCTCTTAGTTCACACAAACACACATAAATACATATATCTGTGTGTGTAACTGACCTGGTTCTTGGCTTGATGCCAGAGCAAGAGAGGATCAACTTCTCGAGGGAAAGAGTTAAGATAAATGAAGACAGGTCCAAATACTTTCTTCCATGCTTCACCTTTCTGAAATTGCATGATTAGTTCTGCTCCAACATAGTGAGTGCTGTGAAATATCTGTTACCATTTCACACACATTAATTACCATCCATCTTCTATCCAAATTATTAATCGATTTACGACGAAACCTATGCTCACCGCGAGGTTGGTTGGACCGACATGGGAGCCTAGGAATTGCTTGAGAGGACCAGCAGATCGGAACTCGTTGCTTGGAGTGATTTGCCAGAAACCAACTGAGTCATTTGTGCTTATCCAACCATGAACTTTTATGTCTTTACTATCCATTGAGTACGCATACTTGTCATCCACCTGTAAGATAATCAAGATTAATCCTCTGTTTTTATTGCTCTGTTTCCGAGCCTCAAAATGGATGGCTTAGATGTTTTCAAGAAAGAATTTAAATTTTACCTCTCCTTTAAACTCGGGCTCGAAAGGGTCGAGGAGTTGAACTGCCTCGGGATAAGCAAGAGGTTTGCCTCGAGGCGGAGTCCGATCTTCGGGCAAAGGCATGTACCTTTGCCTGTCATCTGAAATCGCCATGTAATGAAACCTATACAAATAGCCAGTGTGTATTACACCAAATCACTAATCTGAATAATAGACATTTATATTATAGATGAAGAATAAGTATAGACACATTACTTGTCCTTGTTTAGCTTAAATGCTAATCGAATATTATCGAGTTCAACAGCGGGCCAGCCTTTTAACCGCTCGAAAATGGCGTAAGTGTAGAACCCCGACGAGTTTCGCAGCATTACAAACCTTAAATTCAACTCCAATCCCATCATTATGGATTCCAAGAAACTAAAGCTTTGTCTTTAGATGTATACTAATTTGACTAACTACCTCTTGTCTATATTCACTGGAACAGACATCGTTGAAGACGCATTCCATAACCTTGAAAACGATATTTCTATCTGTTCATCGCTCTGCATTACCACTTCCATCTTTGTTGCTTCAATTCTACAAATCAAGTCCAAGTAAGTTTCACATTGTGGGGAATATTAATTGGTATAATTAACTATATAACACACACAATCATTTACCGGTCTAGTGTGCCTTTGGTCTTTTTAGTTTTTTTTCCAGGAAAGTTCCACACTAAGTCCCAGTAGCTGCAGAAATCAGATCAATTAGTTTCAATCCCATAGTGTGTTTAAACACTCCAATCAGAGGAGTTAGATAGTAAACCTACCCTCTATCATTTTCACCACCGGTGTAGGCAAGCACATTTTCGATACCATTGTATCGGATTCCGGTGACAAATCCTGAAGGATTTGACAAAGTTAATTGAAGAATCCCATTGTCCATCACCACCTGTAATCATCATAAGGGTTTTTAAAACGATCCATGACTTGCACATCAAGGAAGCCACAAATTAAGTGTAACAATTTTGTTTTTTTCAAAGGGGTATATCTCTAATTGTCAACTAGAATAACTAACTAAGAATAATGATAAGTAAAAGAAAACGTAGAGAGACGACGTACATGTCGATCTTGGTAATGTAACTGCAAGACTTGTGTTGATTCTGGATCAGGACTTTGGTTTTGAGAGATTGTAATTTGAAACAAAGACATGAACATGATCAAAGCAATAATCCATCCTCTTTGTCTCAATAAGTGTCTCCGGTAATCTTTTTTTTTTGTCACATACGATAACGTTTTGTTAGGAGTTGGGTTATTATCATGTTAAACACAAAAGTTGATTACACGTAATTATAAGAATTGAAAACAAATGTAATTATGCTTTCTTCTCTGATGCGTACCTATGGTCGTCACGAGCTTGAAAACATGTGAAGAGAAGAGAAACATGATTAAATCAGCGAATTTGTCTTGGAGCTTTCTCAAAATTCTGTCCACAAAAGTAATAATCAGACATGTGAAGTTAGAGATGAGGCAAGTAAGAATTAGAAGAAGAGTCGTTGATATTTGAAAACATCACTATATAGGTTTTCTTCTAATAAAGAATCTCTTAACCATACAAAAACTTTGAAGTAGG